CTCACAGTAAAGGGCACTTGGGCTCCCCCTAGAGGTACACAGGGATTCAACTTTTTTTTCCCCACTAAGTAGGAGTTCAAAAATGAAAATTTAAAATCTTATACAGCTCGATTCTTTGTGGGTCATTTTTGTGAGGGCGGGGTTACAGCCTGGACAGTTGTTCAGTCCAACACTGGACCACAAAAAATGTCAAATGTCCAGAGTCCCAGGTACACCCTCCCTTTACATTTAGAGATATTTCTTAATTATTTTATCAAGACCATTATTTATCAGCTCTGATAAATATTAATATTTAAATGTTATAATAAATCGTCTTTTTTTTAATTATAACTTGACATTCTGTCCGTCCTGCAGGTGTTTAACTGCCCCCATAGGAGTAACTTCTCCTCGTTTCTGACCCTCCTGTCTCTGCCCCCCCACCTCCCCCTCGTCTGTCTGTCTTATATGAGAGGGATTAGAAGTGAAGTGAATGCTGGCCCCCTGAGGCCACAGAGCACATTACAAGGGCCTGGCCTCATGTGAACATCACAGGAGACTAGATAATGATCAGGGATAAAAGCAGCTATGTAGGTGAGGGCGGGGCGGGCGGCGGCGACGGCCAGGAAAAGGTCAAAGTGAGAATCAAAAATCACACATGACCAAGGAGGTCTGGTCCTGCGACCGTCACGTCTGACCTTTAACCTTCAGAAACAGCTGTCCCCTTTTATTCTCTGTGTTACTGAACAGAATCGTCCAGAAAAAAACCAAACTATAATATGACAACGATATTATGACCACCATAACTCCTGCAGACGATCGACTGACGTCTACTCTCCAGTGAGAATTGATAAATCCCCATGTTTGACATCAACTTTAAACCAGATATTTTATTCTAAACCAATATTATTAATTATATTAATTATAAACCAATATTTTTTATTTTTACAATTAAATAAATCTATATATTGCTGTGCCTATAGTATCACAATATATTGCAATATATAATACATGTTTCGCTGTCCCTATATCACACCCCTACAATACAATATACTACAATACAATACAAACAAATACTATTTGTTTGGTATTGATACAGTTTTTGGGGTAAATTACAATATGTTGACTTTTATCAACAAATCTTTTTTTTTAACAATTGTACGTTTTCCAAAACCCAATAAACACAGACTGATTCATGTCCAGATAGTTCGATACCATTTAGAGGAAAGTCTCTGCTAAAGCAGGGCACACGAGGAGGAGGAGGAGGAGGAGGAGGAGGAGGACAGATAAGACCCTCCCTACGGCAGCCTGACAGGACACATGTCACACCTACAAACTCTCAAGGCCTGAAAATTAAAGTGTAATTTGTAACAGTTTAACTGCGTCCACCGTGGTTTGACTCCGAGCTCTGACCTCACGTCACTCACAGATTAGCCCCCGGTGGGTGTGGTCCGCTTTTACGGCTCCTGCGTCTGATTGGCGGAGCCAAAGGGCAGCTGTGTTCGGTCAACTACACAGATTGCAAACAAATCTGCATTGAGCCCTGCTGAAGGCGACACACACACACACACTCTGGTGTCTGTATGTGTGCCCCCCCCGCGTCCGTCCTCCCCCTCTCGCTCCTTCACACATGGCTGCCGTCAGTGGGTAAGTCAGTGAGACACCTCCATGATGAGACCTGTGTTTTCCTGACCCTTTAAGTCGGGAACATTCTTTCTACAGAAAGGTTGGAGCTGTTTCTCAGAACGTGTAGGAACCAGCCACGAAGAAGGCACACAGCGCCGCGGCAAATATGCGTGAAACCAGATACGCTCCCTGGCTCTCAGCGCTCGTAAAACAGGAGCAGAAGATGAAGAAGAACCGTCCTCCTCCTCCTCCTCCTCTACTCCCTCTACTCCACATGTTCACCCTGGGCAGGAGCTGCGGTCGCTCTACTCCACACGTTCACCCTGGGCAGGAGCTGCGGTCGCACCTGGTTCAACCTCCCTGGTACAAACTGACACGGTCACAGAGGACAGTATCACTGACCTCTACAGCATCACAAGGTCACGAACAGAGACAACCATTCACACCGTCATTCACGCCATTATTTTAACACTACGATTTCTGTAATGTTTTACTTAAATATGAGTGAATATCAGCCAGCTAGGATTTGTCTGAGGTTCCCCAGCCCACGTCACTTTCCAAGTTGATGTGCGTGAGCTCTTCTGGGGTCGCGTGTGCCGACCCTCTCTTCTGTAAGGCCCGTGTTTTTTCCACCCCTCCGTGTTGTTCTGGACTCCACCATTATCTGTCCTTACACATCCCTTTGTGTGGCATACACACACACACACACACGGCTAATCTCATCTGAGGCAGGAAACACATTTTGGGGCCTTGAACCAAACTCTCTCCCCCCGACAGGAAACTGGACTGAAGGGACAGAGGGACAGCGGAGAGGAGGTTCCCTCAACAACTGTTCCAATGACCTTCGTCCACACGGCTGTGCTGAAAACAACAATCCGACTGTGACGGGGTGACAAAAAACTAAACTGAGTTTAAATGTGAGAGGCCAAAAAAAAAAAGAATTATTTTTAATCGTTTTTCACATCAGAGTTCACTGACGTCACCTACACGAACCACAGACTTTACATAAATAAAACCATATTTTATATCTTGATATTTCAAAAAATATTTTCCGGGAGTTTTTCAGCATGTTGCCCCTCCCCTCTCTGACTACCCCCCCCACCTCCAGCTGCACCCTTTCTATAGCCACAGTGAATTATCTACCTCTGTATCTCTTACCTTCTCTACAGTTTCACCAACCATCTCCAGATCCACATCCATAAATCTTCCTCCTCCCTCTTCTCCTTCTCCTCCTGTCTTGTAGCTCCATCACCAACATCGTCCCCCATCTCACCCCCCCCCGTCCCCAACATCTTTCCTCGGCTCAGGTCCAAACCATGTCCACCCGACCCTTCCGACTTCACCTCCAAACCTCTTCACCTTCACCTTTCCCTCTGGTCGGCTCATCCTGGTCACCTGCAGTGAAGTTCTCAGCTTCTACATCTACATCTGACTCCAGCTCCTCCAGCTCAGCCTCCTGTCTGTTACAGACAGACCAACTGTCTGTCAACCCCGGTCTCAGGTCTCAGTGCTGTCTGCTAAAAACCTTCACTAATCACCCCTGACTCGTGTCTCCATCAATCCCTCCCCGTCTGCAGGCACTTCACCTCTATTGTACGCCGTCCACTTCTCGGATGTTTGTAAAGGTACTTGAACTCACCACCATACGTCACACTTAGGAAGTGAAAAAGGACAAGTGTGTGCCTTCAAAGAATATGTTTGGTTTTTTTTTGACAATTTAAAAAAAAAAATTTTAGGGCACAAATTATTTGACAAAACCCAGGTATTGCGTTATCGGGTTTTCATTATCGGAGGAAAAACCGATAACGATTCTTATACATAAAAATAGAATTATGCTAATATGAGGACGATAATATCAACCTAACCAGCTGCCTACAACTGTAGTAGAAAGACGAAAACATCGCGTCTCCCAGAGTGGAGTGGAGCTGAATACCATGGTACGGTGTACCAGCAGACTTTTGTCATGGTCCGCAGACCAAGGTAAACAGACGAGCGCATGCAGAAGCACACGGCGTGAAAAATGGAAGAGGAGATGGGCGAGATGTTCAACAGTGGAGGAGATGTGGAGTCAGATATGGAGCGCTGAGTGAGGAGAGAACAATACTGTGAGTGTGAAGAAAAAACACCAACGTGAACCCGGACAACATTTAGCAGCTTTAATTTACGCCCTCTCATTTCAGACTCTCCTGCCGAAGTTTCTTTTTTTTTTTTTTTAAATCAGACTCTCCTGCCGGAGTTTCTTTTTTTTTTTTTTTCTGCAGGAGCAGAGGAGGAGACCCTCCGGCTCCTGCTTTGTTTTCATTCTTTTTATGGAAAACGCACATTTAAGTCGGGCAGGAGGTGAAACAAAACAATAATTTCACCCCGAACAGCCATCATGGTGCATTAGCCTGTTATTACCACCGTGAACATAAACCACAGGGGCAGAAAAATTCACGAGCGCTCTCATTAAAGCAGATTAGAATGAAGCTTCACACTTAGGGAGTCGGTTTTATCTCCTCACCACACACAAACTCCAACCTGTGATAATATTTTCTCTGTCTGGTGAAAAGTGAGCAGACAAGAAAGGAATTTGAGACCGATTTTAAAAACGGGCAACAAAGTAACAGCCCCAGGGAGAGGGGGTAATTACTTAGGACTGAGAAGAGAAAAGGTAAAGGTAAATAAGAAATGAGAGGCGAGTGCCAGGTGTGCGATAATTATTGTATTCGTACCATAATTTGACCATGTGACATGCTTCCAGCCAATTACGTGACACGTGTACGACATTCGTACTCAGAACAACAAGCACGATTTGCTAAATGATCCGCAAGCGCCAGCCCCACGGGAGGCTAGCCTGGGATCCGTCAGGAAGTCGAGCAAAATTTAAAACTGAAGAGGAAGAAAAAAAAAAGAAATTTAATTTCTTCTTCTTGTGAAAGAAACCGAACTGATTCCCTGATGAGTTTGAAAGAGGTGATGAGGAAGAAAAAAAATCCCGTGACACACAGCGCCGCTGTTTACCAACGCTGACACGATTCGGCGTGTCAACACTCAGACGCCTCATCAGAAAACATTAAAGTGGGAGGAAGAACATCCCATTAATCTGCCTCGCTCACACGGAGGACAAGGATAAATGACTGAGTAAACACCGGGAGGATGTGAATGATATTAATTTAATGAATGCAGTCAATACTGCACGTCATTAATTAACAAACGCTGCCTCGTTATGGATGATAGAGAGTGTGATGTTGGTTTGTGCAGATCTGTGCATGTGTACACGGTGTGAACCTGGTAGCTCCTATAAATTTGATTTAATATAATTTATGTATAATAATATAATAATAATGATAAAAAATTAAACTTCTCAGTATTATTGTATATGTTGTTTTTTTTTTAAACAGATGAAACCAGCTCACCTTTGTGATTCATCTTCAGCTGGTTCCTGGAGCCGAGAGCAGAACCTCCACCTGCTGCAGACCGACAGTGGTTCTGAACCGGAGAAGACTGGATCACAGCCACAGCATCGGTGCCGTCGGTTAGAACCGGTCTGGAGAATGAGGCGATCCTCTCCAAGATGGAGCCCACGCTGTCTCCTGCATCACCTGCACCACGCTGCACCACCGGGGGACTGGAAGGGCCGAGCAGTCTCGGCACACCGGGGACCGCCTGGGCAATTTGGGGTCCTGCGAGGACCCCCATCTGAGGGCTTCTGGAGAGAGGGAGATGGACCGGAGAACCGTCCAGCAATGGAACTGGAGTGGAGCTCAAAGAAGAAGGGGAAGACGGGAAAGTGGGATTGTGGAGAATCAGGGTCTGGGTGTCAGAAGTCTGACCGTCCAGGCTGCTGAGGGAGGCAGACGGGCTGATCAGGGTGGGCGGTGGGCTGTTTATGTGCTGCCCCACCCCCGTGCTCCTTGGGTAAGGAACAGGGGGGTTGGGCTTCGCTGACCCTCCGTGACCCATGGCTGGAGACTCGGCTCCAGTGCTGCTAACCAGACTCTCCAGGTCCAAAGGGAACTTGTTGAGACGCAGCGTTTCTTTGACCTTTGGCTGCGGGGCCTTGAGGACCTTGAGGCCTTGCTGCTGGTGGCCTTGTTCCATCCCAAAGGAATTGTGATTGTTAAGACCGCCATTCCAATAGGCGTTAGCATTAGCGTACCTCAAACCTGGAGATCCCCTGCCTTCACCTCTCTGCACACCCACGATCCCTCGTCCATCGCGGTTCTGGAGGTCCAGACTGGGCATGGAGCCGTGGTTTAGTCCCCGAGGCCGTTCGGCGTCCATCATCACCCCTGACCTTTGGTTCATCTCGTTGTGGAAAACACTCCCGTGGGAGGAGAACTTCTTCAGGCTGTGGTTAATTATTAAGTTGGCATCTCCTCCCAGCTGCTGCGGAGGGAGTTGGACGGGAGCTTGATACTCCCTCTGAGGCGGAGGACTGGGATATGACCCAAATCTGTTCAGAGGCGGGGCACCACCGGTATTCCCAGAGTACTCCAGGCTGGACGTGGAGCTGTGAAGACTCTCGTTGTCGCTGTTGGGTCCGGACAAAAGGTAGTAACTGCTGGGATTGACCCGGCTCTGGAAGGACAACGCTCTGGTCACAGAGGAGCCGTTGTGGTGGACACCTGGTTTGTTCATAGTTCCTCTGTTGAAAGAAAGGCTGCTGACCACCGCACGGGACTTGAGCACCGGGCTGGGACTGGAACCCAGATTGATGCACGAGTGGTGGGCTGCGGAGCTCACGCCGTTGTTGTTGTTGTTGAAGGCCAACGACGGCGCCTGACCATCTCCCCCGTGTCCCTCGAAGGCTTTGTTGTGTTGGAGGAAGAAGGTGGAGGACGAGGGTGAAACGGGTGTGGAGATGGGCGAGGTGGAAGAGGAGGGTATGTCATCCACGTCTTCAATTTCAAAGGATCTCTTTAAAGCTGCGGATGTGAAGAAAGGAAATAATCAGTCATTTAAATATTCTTCAAAAGGTTACGGTAAAAAATGAGTCAAAAAGTCCTCAGACAGATGTGTTGGTTTCTGCAGGTATCTGCTGTGATTGGCTAAAACCAGTTCAGATTCTCAGGTCTCTATTTATCATCATATCTTGGAATAAACAAGGAATGGCTACAATGACCTTTGTTAACACACACACACACACACACACGCACACACGTACGTCCCTTGTGGTCTGAACACAAAGGAATGGATCGAGGTCAGGAACACACACACATACACACATGTACGTCCCTTGTGGTATGAACACAAAGGAATGGATCGAGGTCAGGTTTTCTGTTACTGGACAGAGCTTTCCTGCAGCCAATGAGGGTGGAGCAGCAGAGAAGACGAAGAACCTAAGAGGTCAATCACACAGGACTTTAACTGACGTCCTCAGAAGCTCTCCTTCTACACAGGTAGATGAGACTGGGTCTATTTTAAATTAACTCACAAACTCTGGGACGTACGGTATGAACGGTGAGACGCTGGATATCAGATTCACTGCGAGTCCGTGCGGTGTTGAATTTCATAGCTGGAAGTCACAGCTTTTGAAAGAGTGAAAGGAGCCTTTCATGGCGATGGACCTACAGAGAATGATCTGCAGCTGTTCTCACATTCACCAAACACCAGACATCACGTCTACTGTAAATACTGGTAGAAAAAAAAAAACAAAAAACCATCAGACAATGACCCAAAGAGTTGAGAGTAACAGAGTCCAAAGTCCTGGGAATTGAACTGATTTTTTTTAATACGATTTATTGATCCTTTATGTTCTTGCTGTGGTCTTGAGCAACAAACGAAACGAAGTCCTGGGAATTGAACTAGTGACCTACTGATTTATTTTTTATTATGCGATTTATTGATCCTTTATGTTCTTGCTAATTCCGGCAGGTACTTCAAGAACCACGTGAAGATCTGTGTCAAAATAAAAGTCTGTTGAGAGATTTGAGAGAAGCCTTCGGCTTCAAAATAAAACAAAGTTCTATTTTACAGTCCTACCTGCAGTACAGCTTCATCACCACAACTCCTCACCAGAGATTATGCGAGTTTGACCTAGCTTCAGCGCTATCATTTAATTTTCAACTGTTGTCTTGCTGCACGTTGACCATCCAGTCCACCAGGAAACCGATTTGATTCTGCAGTTCTACAGAATTTTTTGAGCCCAATAAGAGCCAGAGTTTTCTGTTGCCTGCCCCTGCTGGCGGTCAGCACTGGTACTGCACTCTAACCAGCTTTTCCAGTGGCTTGAAAAAAAAAACAAAAAAAGAAGCAACATCACTGTCTAAGTTCAGCGACAGTAACAAACACAGTGTGATCGTCAGAATGAAACACTCATTCCCGGTGTTGGTTAATTGCTACGAGGGCGGCTAATTGCTCATCAATCTGGGGGCTCCAGGCAGGCTGGGGAAGGGTATTTGTTTGTACATGTAGGTGTGTTGGAGGAGGGATGTGTGAGCTGGGGCAACAAGTGTTAACCTGCCCTCCGTATGAAAGATAAGGAGGGCTGCTATCAGGTGATTTCTGGCACATAGTCAAACACTGGGAAATAATTACGGAGGCAGTGAAGTGTCCTGTCTGTCTGCGAGTGTGTGCGTGTGTATGTGTGTGTGCAGGGCTCCTTCTGTTCTCATAGTTTCACACACTCAAACCCCTCCTCTCTCTCTCTCCCTCTCTCTCTCGTCCTGGAGGAAATTGGGGTCGGGCAGTTATCAGCAGAGCCAATTATTAATTGTGAATATGGTAATTATTTTGCCGTTGAAGTCAATGAACCAGGCCGACTGAATGGAACTCTGGGACACATGAACGCCGTGCATCTCCAAGAATGAAGACTGTAGTTAAAAAACAGAGACAAACAGAGACAAACGTGTCAATTTAAACACGATGATGAGGATTTTTAAATTAAAAAAATGAACCAGGAACAAAAAAAAGAAAAGAAAAGAAAACTCTTCATACAATAAAACCAACTATGGCCCGTGGGCTAATTACAGGCCATTGGGACGTTTGCTCCGGCCAGTCAACCACTGCTATCAATAAAACCAACTACAGGCCATTGGGAAGTTTGCTCCGGCCAGTCAACCACTGCTACAATACCAAGAAGTCCAGTTGAACCACTAGATAGCGCTCTCCAGAAACAACCTAGTTCTGCTGTGGTACTTCAGCAAATTTTTTTGTTTTTTGTGTGTATTTTTAGGTAAAGTTCTGTACTGAATTGTTCTGAATACTGACTGATGATTAATGTCTTTTCCTGGGGTCTGTCAAACTGGTGCCCCCCCCTCCACTATAAACCTATCCACAGTCCTGCTCACACGTCCCATGTCCTGCGTGGACTCAGATGTTGGCCTGACAGACACGTCAGAATTCCCGCTTCATACAAATGTTTAAATTAAATCAACCTTTGCCCATCTGTTAGCGGATTAGCAGCCGGTGCGCAGCCATCGCCCGGCCCTTTTTGGATTAGCGCAAGGAAAAGGGTTTTGTTGAAGGAATTTCAGGAGGCCCTCGGGCAAAAGGGCATCAGTGATTAGGGATTTCATAAGAAGGAACGGCTAAATCATTCACTTCTCCCTGTCCTAATTCCTGCGTCTGAACTGTAGTTTGAATGCTTCACACACTGGCATGTTTCAAAACTCTAGACTAGCAGTAGGTGGCGCTAACCTGCAGATGTGGCGTCAGCTCTCAGAGGTGGACAGGTTATGATCTCAGTGCAGGTGGGAGAGATGAGGGTGAGGTTTTCTCTCACACGTGTTTTTCAGACAACTTCACTCCAATGGTATTTCAGTAACATCAGCCAGGAAACAAACAAACAAACCAACGTCAAAGCTCCAGCTCCAGCTCCAGCTCTGGGCCAGATCAGATGAGAGAGCCACTCTGTCCGTGTCAGTACTGACGACAGTGAAATAAACCACAGACAGTCCAGGACGTAGCTCTGCAGCGCCACCTACAGCAGCTTGGTAAAGATAATCTGTAGATCTGTCTGTGTTCACTGGACATTCTGACATCATCATCATCATCATCATCATCATCATCTGAGGAGGAGGCCCGGTCCTGAAGAACCCTCGGGGGTCCGGGACCAGGAGAAGAAGATCACAGACCGACTGAGTCTAATGTTCTCCAGGACTCACAGCTGGACGAGCCCAGGAGCTCCTGATTGGACCGGGCTAAGAGTCTTCCTGTCACATGTTGGAGTGACGACTGTGGTTCGACTGTAGTTGGAGCAGCTGCTGCACAGCTGCAACTTTTTAACAACATCTGATTCACCTAATAAACTAAGAGCAGGAATAAAAAGAATGTCTCTCGTCATGTCCCCTCATCAGGGGTCACCACAGCAGGGGTCCACATGGTAATGGATGGAATCAAACGCAGAATGTTCTGGAATCCTACCACTGATGGTACCTTCTTCTCCGCTCGCCTAAGTTTGTTACTGATACGTATGTTGTTGTTTAAACATCAGTTCAGCATCGACATGAACGTTTGGGTTTAAGGATCAAATCGTGGTGGTGACCTACAAACTGGTCCTGATATGTTGGTGAATACCAGGTGGATCGGACCACATCTAGTCTGGACTTCAAACATCATCAGACATTTTTGGTTTGGTCTGGTTTAAAACAGCGCCACCTGGACGTGTTCATCCTGGGGTTGAGCTCCTCAGGTTCCTGCACGGGCTCTGATCTGAAGCTAGGATTTTTTTAATTTTTTTTTTTTTAAACTCCACAGCTTTGCTCTACCGTGGACATGTTGAAGTGCGTCTTTGTTGCTGCGGTTTGTGTAAACACTGGTCGGTGAAGAGCTGCAGTTGTTGCAGCTTCTGGCCAAAATCCAGAAAAAGCCAAAAAAAACCGTGGAACAAGCGGCCTCCAGTTCAGCTGCTGTGGATCACATCCCCCTGTAGAGATGACATCAATGCTGCCTGTGTTTATCGCTCTGTTCCAACAGCAACTGAACGTTCCTGCTGCACCAAGAAAGTGACGGGAAAAGTTGGATTTAACTAATGAACTGACTGTGAAGGTGAAGAGCTGCTTCACACACAGACACAGACAACTGAGGAGGTCAAAGGTCAGAGGTCCAGTTATGGTCCAGAGACAGAGAGAGAATCAGAAAAACATTATCAACACCACCAACCTGCACTGTGACTCTTGCAGTACTCTATATAATGTATGCTGTATTTCATTGTTTTCCAAAGACTGGGTCGCAACCCTCAGGTGGGTCGCAGGATAGTTTTTTTTTTCCAAGAGTTTATGATTAATGTCTATTGACTTGGGTCGTGGAGGTTTGGGATTTTTAAAATATGGGTCTCTAGAAAAAAAGAAGTTTGGAAAACACTGGAGTATTTACTACTGGAGTATTTACTACTGGAGTACTACTGGAGTACTACCTGACCTCTCGCCTCACAATCAACTCAGTTCCAACTGCTACACCCAGTCAAACCGTGCTGACCTCTCACTTAACATCTCCATATGAACCCACGTCCATGTGGAGGGTTTCATTCATGTGAGGCCCAGGCCGTCTGGTGGACACACACACACACACACACACACATCGTAGAGTCAGAGGATGCTGAGTCTGGGCATGTCTGATTACACCCCCCAAACACACACACACACACCACACTTGTAGCCATCTCTGTCCCCCTGACCCTTCCCCCTCCACCCCCACATTCCACAAGGTTTTTGACGGACAAAGCACTGTATGAACTGACACGTGGGAACACGCACAACACAACACACACACACGCGCACCCACGGACGTAAGGTAGGTATTGATTATCAACATTATCAATCCCATTGTCCCCTCACCTTTAACCTTTAACCTTAACTACAAAAATAATCCTAATCTTAATTTGTAACCAAACTCTGGTCTGACCCTACATTCTAATCCATACATACACACACACACATTGATATATGTATATATAAATATATGTGTATTTTTGACGGACAAAGCA